ACATAAGTACTTGATTAAGATTAATCATAAAATTAATAGCTAAATAAAAGGCGGGCGTTATAGCAACATTCTTACATTTACAATACTTCCACACAATTGTTCCATTTGTGATCACAATTTTCATTCCCCTTTCCAATGCAATTCACAAGATCATTATATATCCATATGAACCCATTAAGGGCAATAAAATTTCCACATTCAAGTATTCTCAACGAGTTAGTGATTTCATAGTTATGTCACATTTTTCTTTTAACAACAATTCTCAATCAACAAACCCTCTTACACTAAGAAATTCCTCATTTTCACATTCATCAATATCATAACATCACCATATTTCTCAAAAGAAAATCTCTAATTTTCTAGGGTTTCCATAAATGAGGTTTCCTTCTCATAGAAATTTTATTATCTCAAGAAAACATTTTCCAATAACAAAATAACTCAAAATCTCAAGGTTTCATATAAAACGTTTTGGAAACCCACATTAGAAAAGAAATATCATTTACAACTTATGAGTTAAAAACAAAGTTTCCATACTTCCCAAAGTTTGTTCTAAATCAATAAAATCTTGCAAAAATATATATAACTCTAAGAAAATCGTTACCTCAAACAAGAAAAAGAATGAGATGAAACCTCCAAAATCAACGGTGTGGGAACTTGATCTCCACCGCACACAACGGAGCCCTCGAGAAATTATCCAACTTTGATCACCGGCCTATGGTCAAAATGTTAATGGTTTTGGAGAAATAAAGGATTTAAACTAGTTTGATGAAAAGAAATGTAGAGAGAATGAGGAGAAATGGGTTTGTAGAGAGAGAAATATTCAAAAAGTGGTATAGACACATCTCAAGAAGGAAAGAAAAAGCAGATTTTCGGATTCAGCAAAGTCCCGCATGTGCAGCACCCATTCCAGCACATGCGGCACTTATCCCCGCACCTCTTTCAACACCTGCATATATTGCAGTAGCCAAACCCAAAAATTCATTCCTCACCGCACGTGCGGCCTCCCTACCCGCGCGTATGGCCCCTCTCTCGCACATGTAGCTCTTACCCCCGCACATACGGCCCTACTTCTAAACATAAAAATTTTAGTAATTCAACTCTAGACACCTCGGATCCAACCTCGCACCTCCCGAAGCAAGTGAAACTCGGAATCGAAGTAATTAAGAATGAGAATTTTGAGAGTAAGTTTGCAAAAACAACAAACCCAACAGTTAACAAGACTTCGCATAAAAACCCTACACTATAACAAGAGTAAATCCAATCGTAACTCAAAGGAAATGAGACAAAAAAACATACCCAGTCATCACACTAGGAGGGTAGTGTTTCGCTCAAGCGACGGTCTTCTGTCTGTAAAACTTCTAGGAGTGTGCATTCTGCACTCGAGCAAGACTTCTTACACTCGAGCGAAACAACTTATTGTGTTTGGTCGCTCGAGCGACAACTCTTGCGCTCAAGCGACACGCATATATCAGTTCATAACAACGCCTTTTATATCACTTTTTCACATCTTTTTCTCTTAAAATCCTAGATTAGCCCTCTCTCTCTCTAAAGCCCAACTTCTCTCTACCTACTTTCTTTAATAAAAATAGTAGAGCAATCTGAGGGCTCTCTTTTGATCCAAATAAAGTTTGGTTTCGGTGTCTTTGAAGTTCCTCAACTTCTTCCTTGGTCTTCTAAGCTTGAGGTAGGGACTTTCTACACTCTCCTATGATTTTTAACTTAGTTATTGTTGTTGTGTAAATCATGTTGGGATTTGGAGGATTTTAGACAAACCTAGGGTTTTTGTTTAAATTCAAAAAAGGGATTTTTCAAATGAAGGCATTGAAATTGATTATAGGTATAAATATGAGGATGTGTTATGTTAAATTTGTCGAATTTGACACATGGGTTGGATTTGAGGGAGAATGGAGTTTTGCCCTAAAAATGTTTCAAATAATTATTTTATATAAAAAATGAAATTAGTATTGGGAATATGAAATTAGATGAATGTTTATATAAATAGTGGAATTGGATGTGTATTATCTCTCACCTATGGAAATTTGGATAATTTATCTGTTTAAGAGATTGTATATCTGTTTAGTAATATCTGTTTTGAGCTATCGGTGAAGGATAGTTATGATTGTTGTAAAAATTGCATGAGGATTAGGGATACAAAATTTTCTACCAAATGAATGACCAATGTCTTATATGGATATGGGGTCATGTCAGACATTCGGTCATTCATTTGGTAGAAAATTTAAGGCCTATAGGATTTTTCATTTTGGTAACTTCTCCTTATGCCACATGTCCTCATTTTCCTATTTGAAATATAAAAATTAAAATTAAAATTAAATAGTTCACAAGAGTAGGACTTGAACCTTAAAGCTTGAAATTAATAAATAAGATTTGTACCACTTGCATGACATATCATATATGGCAAAAGTTTAATTTTATTCTTACTTTTTTTAATTGCACACGAATTGTGTGTGCCAATCACTAATAATATAGAAATAACAAAAGTATGTCATGGAAACTTGGTGTATGTTTCCATGAGTTATGTGATGCATCTGTATTAGTGGAATAAATAAAAGTCATTTCCAAGTTTCTTCCTTTTATAAAATTTTTTATCTCTTTTTAAGATCTTATGATACTGTTGTACTAAATTTAAAAATTCAAAAAAAAAACTTCGAGATAGTGATTTGTGATTATGATTCAATTTAAAACAACGAATAACAATCACAATTAAACAATCAACTACAAATTGGCACAATGATTTAATGTGAAAAAAATCATAATTAAACTGCTCCAATTGTGATAAAAAATCACGGGTCAAAACCACAAAATAATCTACTAAGAAGACAAATAAAGAATTATACACGAAAATCCTTAATTATCTAGTTAATCTACGCCCAAATTGAGCCGAACCTAATGCACCTCTTCCACCATCATTTTTAGCTCGGAGCTTTGCCTGACGTTGAATCCACAACACCGATGTTGAATCCATGACGATGAGCCACTCCAAAATCCACCAAAACTTCAAGTCCAATTTCCCCAAAATTTACCGATGAACAACTCTATCTTTTTTGGGAAATGAAAGAAAACAACCAACCCTTGATATTTGTCAATATGTATTTCGTTGATCAATTGATCATTTTCCATACATCAAAGAAACTCATGTATAAACACCCTCTAATATAAAACACATAGTATTTTACTTCTCTCTTAGAATCTAGACGAGTTCAACCTTAAAAAAGCAAACGACACACTTTATACTAAATAGAGTTGCGAAAATCGCTCAATCGCATACTTTACAACTCGAGCGGTGTGAGAAAAGACAATACTCACATATAGGCCAACCGCTCGAGCACAATATTAATTGCTCGAGCAATAAACATGTTTTTCAAAAGTTCAAAAGGCAGGCTCAATCTTCGTATACTTAATCAGCGAAGTGGCAAACAGGAACGCTGAAATCAAGATACGGAATGTCAGCACAAACTCTTTTGTACAGGCACAACTCAGGTTGGATTCACATTTAAACTCTCATAACTCTCAGATACAATAAAGCGAATAAAAATACAACTGAAAAGAGTTTTGTCCAACAAAATTGCCAATAACAAAGACATAACAAAATTGATCTAATCTTTTATCAGTTTTACAATGAAAATTTTCTTCCTGATCTAAAACAACATGTTTTTACCTATTATATAAGATTTTGTAATTTTATGGTACTTAAAAAAAATCTAAAATACTAGTGACATCTTTTTTGAAAAACGACAATAAAAAAAATTTTAAAAAAAAATCTAAGGTTTAACCTTGTAACAAAAACATTTTTTTTTAATTTTATCAATTTAAATTTTAAATTTTAAATTTTTTATTTATTTTCAATATAAATCATTTATTTATTTTTGTAAAGTTAAATAGATATATATAAATAAAATATATAAGAAAAAGTGAGTATTTTAGTCATTACACTCAATGAAAAAAATATATATATTTTGGATATTCTATATAAACTTACATTGAGTTTAATGAATAAAATATAATTTTTTTCGTTAGTTTTATTTAACCGAAATAAGCTGATGGTTTAGATTAAAAATAAATTAAAAGAATGGAGTTTTAATTAATAAAATTAAAAAATGATAATTTATTTTGTTACCGGTCAAACTCTTTTTTTTTTCTTTTTTCTTTTTTTGGTGGTGTAATTGCCTTCATCTTGTTTTTAGCTACTTTTTATGAATAAGTTTCTTAAAATTATGGGTTAATTACATCATTGATTCTTAAAGTATGAGTTTTGCATCATTTTGATCCTTAATATTTAACTTGTGTCAATCTATCTCCAATGTATAAAATGTTTCAATTGGTTTGGGCCTTCCAAATTAGGCTGGTTTTCAGTGGCAACAAAAATTCTCAAATTGGGCTCCAAGTATGGGCCAAGTCCATAACAGAAATTGTACCAAAGAAAATGTACAATTCCAAAAGAGCACTAGAGGAATCAAAAGCTCAAAAAACAACACACAAGTTAGAGCATTTCTAATGACAAATACTATAATAGTATTGCTATTGTCAAATTATGACAATGAATAGTAGCATTTTGCTCAAATTATAATAATGGTGCTCCAATGGAGGGTTGTTATTTTGGCACAGAAACTGGTGTGTGTGGGACGTCTGGCCGAATGTCCCTCACACACCAATTTCCAGCTTTCGTTTTGCAAAAATGCTGGACGCATTTTGCAAAAATGGAGGATGTGGGGAAATGAGGGATTTTTTGCTGAAAGTTATGGCATCTGCCAAAACTTGTGTCATATTTGACACAAGCTTTGGCATTTATCAAATTTGACAGCTATACAACTTGCCATTGAAACAAGGTTTTTGTGAATTACTGGCAATAGCAGCTCCAATGGTGAGCCATTGAAGCTGTTTGTCACGCCCCGAAGAGTCATTGAAGCTGCTTGTCACGCCCCGAATTAACAAGGTTCGACTCACGCGAATAAACCACTCGACAATGAACAATAGATAACTCCTCTCATGCAAATGAATATTATATAGCCACACAATATATGTGTTTATCCAATATTCTACATTCCTAGATACAAGATCTAAGTCTAATAGATGTTCTGTGACTAAAACATGTACAGATGTTATAAAATCAAATTAAACGCCCTGAGCCTTACATCATACACAAGGATGTAACCTTTACAAGAATGGCACGCGGCCAATAAATAACATAAATGGTCATTGGCTTACAAATAACTGAACCACCCTACACGGTTCGAACATCACTTCACATCACAGTCCGCATCCACATATGTATACCTGAAAAACATTTCAGCCATGCAGGGTGAGCATAAAACCCAATAGAGAATATTTCAAAAACTAAACATGCTCAACCAGCATAAATAATCATGATGCAATACATATAAACAATATGCCCAATGCATTTTCAAAATCCATTTGATTACTCAACAAAATCCTTTTCTTTCCAATTACCAAAACCTTACGTTTAATCAAAACATTATTTGAGTTCAAATCATCTGTTTGATATAAAATTCTTTTCCAAAAACCAATCCCGGTATCTCAATACCAACCAGAAAATACATTGTTAAATCAAATGCGAATACATCGCTAAACAACGGCAAATATCTTGTTAAAACCATATTCTAAACATCCTATGCCAAAACCAACATAATAGTAAATAAATGGGTAAATCTCCAGAACAAATACAACCTTTTTGAGAAATTTTTTCCGGAGGAAACCGTAAGCCGGGACCTATATAAACGTAGGCCGTACAAGTACTACTATTGTCATTTCATGGAAATTTTGTTCGTGGGATTGGCACCCATGTATACGCGCGGTTTTCGGGACTTTCACCCTAGACACACAGGCCAACTTATTTGATGTAACAACAATTTTCTCCCAGATTCACCATTTCATTTACCCTTTTCAATAGTACAATACATGTAACTCAAAATATTGTTTTTCCAAAACAATGTCAATGTTCCAAAATATAGTGTAAGAATTTCCAAAACCTCTTTTCAAAATATATAGTTTCAATTTCCAGAATTCATTACATGCTCCATGATATGAATGATTTCAAATTGCCTAATCCACATATAATTTCTAATACACGGTAATACTATCCTCCACCGATAACCAAAACAGTTATTTTTAATGCAATAATCAAAAGATAACCATATAGATATATTTTCCAAGAGATTAACAACACCCATTTCCAAAATCTCACAACCATTTCCTTTCCAACCAAACCATTTACCACAAATCAATCTAACTCCCAAAACAATTTCATGTAGGGATTGTCTACAAATTGGGACTTTTCCACTTTTAGAGATCCATATGCAATTTTGATTACCAAAAATAACTGTAGTAACAAAATCATAGCCCAACAATCCCCAAATTTCACAAAACCTCATTTTCTTTCAAAATCACTTTTGAGTAAAGAAAAGCCACCATGTCAACATATCTCAACTAACTTTACAAAATCATAACTTTGTTCAAAAACTCATTTGAAAAATCTCTCTTTCACATTTCAAGATCCACATCCTAAGTTTAACACAAAACACCCAAATCCATAGAACTTTTGAAATAACAAGTAACAATGGGTAAAAATCATACCACATGACTACCAAATATACATAACAAAATACGGCACAAATATGTTACTGAACTCATATTGAGTTTAGGAAATAGACCCTACCTCTTGAAGCGAAGAGGAGAACTCGAAGAAAAACCAAAGTCAATGAAATCGCGAAACTCTTTGATCAAAAGAAAGTACTTGATTGGATCTACAACCTTTCTCAAAGGACTAAGATGGAAAAATGCCTCTAACCAAGTTGATTTAGAGATCTATGTAAGAAAGGTGAGTTTCTAAGAGAAAGAGAGAGGGATTCACGGGTTAAAGGGGGAAAAGAGAGAGAAAAAGAAAAGGTGAATGAGAAAAGTGTGCTTATGGTCTATTTATAGTAGTAGAATAATAGCCCTAAAGTCAAAGGAAAGAATAAGTTAAACCCCCAAAAAGTATATCTCAAAACTGAACCAAAAATCTGAAAATTTACTCACAAAGGTTGACCCTACTTCAGATAGTGGTATCGACCCTTCAGGAAGAAAAGCTGAGACACTAATGTGTGCAGAGGACAAGGATCAAGCCTTGAAACCAGTGGTGTCGACCCTTTATTTCAGAATGCACCCAAAACAAAACAGTAAGGGAAGGGTCGACCCTTAAAGCCCCTGGTGTCGACCCTAAAAACCAAGAAAGGCTAAGGACAGGGTAGCAAGGTGGTATCGACCCTCAGGAAGGCTAGTATCGACACCAAAATAGATTTTCCAAGTTTCCAAATAACTTTTCAACGTAAACAAGCGCGAATGAACAATCCCAACAAATTTAAATCGAATCGTACTCCTTCAAAACCAAAATACAACAACTCCAAAGATTCCCAAAATGAAAATAAATGAATTTAATACACTCTCCAATAGTTTAAAGGACACAACAACTCAAAAAAAACAATTGAAAATCTAAGCCAACAACAGCAAAGGAATCAAAACAAAATATGACCTAAGAAAAAAAGTTTATGAGGAAAATATATATCTATTATAATTTTTATTTTGAATTGTTTTCTTATTTGTAGACTTTGGGTGGGGAGTTGCATGCATTTTGATTGTGGGGCAAACTTCTTTAAAAATAATAATAGAATAAAAAACTGAGTTCAAATTTGGGGATTTTGACATCTAGCTTGCATTTCTATCCTAGGTTGGGTATCAGAAACAAAATTATTATAGAACTTTTTTTATAATTACAAAAAAAGTATTTATTACCAAACATTATTAAAAATGAACAATCACATATTTGAATAATTTTTTAAAAGAATATATAAATATTTTTAATACTATAAATAATTTCCACCTGTTCATGACAATTATAGGTAGAGAACTCATGCTTTTAAAATTTTCAGTGAAACCAACCAAACTATGCCTTTAGTCCAAGTCAGGTGAGGTTAGCAACCTGAATTCTTTTTGGTCATTCTACTATGTAAAAAGCTACCTCGCTTAGTTAAATTAAATAAAATTTTAAGGTTTTCAGTATATGTCATTTTTTTTCTAACTACATATTTTTCTTAAAATTTTTCTGAACTTTTATTGATATTTTCTCAGTACTTTTTTTTTCTACCAAATAATTCCCAAAACTTCAAATTTGTTTAAACTGATACGCAAATAATCCCAAAAAGGATCTTGGAGCACATTTTTCGGCCCTGGCTCACTGTTAATTTTTTTAATTTACTTCTATCTTTTGTTTTAATTTGTATTTCATTTTACCAGATTTGATCCCAAAAAAAAATCTAGTCAAGAAGGCAAGTAGAATCATCATTCATGATTATGCTAAATTATTCATGCAATAATCATCTGAATGAAAATGAAATGAAAATCAAAATATCTATACATTTCATTTAAATATATATATATTATATTTATTTTCTTTTTCTTGCTCCATGATCATAATCCTTATTAGTATAAGGATACAAAAATAAAACTTGGTAGTCAACACCTCTCATAGTACGCTAATTTTTTTGAAACAAGGGAACACCATGCAACAAATATATGTTTTCATTTTTTGAATGGATTTAAAAATTTGTTGATTTTTGATTTAGATCTTAGCTTTTCATAAAATTTGTGTTTTTAAAATCATACCGTCGAGATCTATCGAACATAACCAATATTGAAAATGAAATTCTTAAATAAATAAATAATGACGAAATTAGCTTGCTACTACTAAGACAATGAAATTCCACTATTTTTAAACAATAAAATTTTCATTTGAGGCTATAAATTGCAAAATTAAGAGCTAATAGCACAAAAAATAGATACCTAATTTCAAATTTAGGGCTAAAAATTCATATTGAAGCCTCAAAAATGGCAAAAGTTTTAAAAATGTGTGTGTGTGTGTGTTCTAAAATAGACAGGTTTCATTTTTTTCAAACACAACTCTTTGTGATATGAGATCTAAGGTACAACTCCTATGAGGAGGAGTTTGATACCTGGTGATTTGTGATGGTTTATTTCTCTCACATTATGGGGCTTGGGCTTGGTAGGTTTGATTATTGTTTGTTAGATTTTGTTGACTTTTTAACTATTGTGATCCAGTTGGCCAAAGCCCTTGTGGCCAAGTGGCATGCAGCCGCGCCTTAGCGAGTGGTGAGTAGATGGTCTGAGGTTCAACCTGATGGATCAGCAACGACCTTTTTAAGTAGTAACTTAACTTTATTAATATACTAACATTCTATCTTTGACAACAACAAAAAAAAAATAAAAAATAAATAAAAAAAGGAAGAAGAAGAAGAAGAAGAAGAAGAAGAGCTAGTTGTCTGTTTAATTATGTAAATATTGATCATGATTGAAATTATTCCCATATCTACTAACAAAAAACATCAATAAAATTTCCTCCAGATGATATGGGTGGAACGTTGTTTAAGCTATATAATAAGAAATTTCGCAATTAATTCTTTCAAGATATGCCTTTATATATATATATATAAATTCAAGAAAAATCATGAATATTCACTATCTTCACTTTTTTTTTTAACACAGTGAAAACACAGTAAAATTTTTAATTAATTGCTAAGAATTAGTAAATGAAAGAGCAATTGCAACTATTGGGTTCATATTTTGAAATTTAAGGAGAAAATTTTCAAATTCAGAGATCCAAAATAATAAATTTGAAAATTTCTGTGTCTTAGAATAAAGAAATTTCATTATTTTCAATACAATGAAGTCTTTCCTACGCATAAACAGTATATATTTGAACAACTCTTCACTTGAGAAATCATGGCAGCCCCAACAAGAAGAAACATGAGTTCATTCTTATTCAAGCATAAGAATCAATACTAACAATAAATACTTTGGATTTTTTGCGATGTGAGATCAAATCATTTCTAACTCTAATTATGATAATAGAAAATTAAAAGATTTTAAAGTCTCGTTTGGCAACTCAATATTTTAACCTAAAAGTCAAAAAATCACTAAAAAAATTAAAAAATCAACATATAACAAAAAGTCAAAGATTTCATTTTCTCTCTACTTATTGCACTTATTTTCGTAAAAAATTAAAAGTCATTTCAAATATATTAATTTTTTTATCTCACATTTTAATAAAAGAACTAAAAAGTTATTTTTTTTTTTTATCAACAAAAAGAATCTTTATTGATGGAATCATACAAAGATGAAAGAGTACATCAATAAAGAGGAGCTCGGAACTAAAAAGTTATTAATATAACATGGTCCTGCACTAAGCCAATTATGTTTATAGTGATAATGACACTGAAACATTTTTGAAAGATTCCTTCACCATTATGCTATCTAGAACTAGAAAGCATAATTAGCAGTTGAAAATTTGTTAAAAGTAATGCCTAAGTAGGTGGAAGAGGTTATCAGTCAATGTAATTGTTTCAATTATTGTGAATTTCATTGCTATTATTTATAAAACTTGAAATCGTACATGTGTAAATACGAATCTTGGATTGGCAAAGCTCAACCAATAATTCAGAAAAATAAAAACTAAACAAACATAAAAAGATAATAAAAAACATTAGCCTCAAATCTAAATACCTTCCCCAAATAGATCCATTACAAAGCATTTCCATAAGTATGTCTATAAATAATTGTTTTTATAAAATATGAAATTAAAAAAATTAACGGTGTAATTATGCCACTTGGCATCTATACAAGGTACTATTGTTTTTTAATTAAGTTTAATCAAATCATAATTTCAAATTGTTTAATGCAATCATTGTACTTTTTATAATGCATCCCGACATATTTGGATTATTTTAATTGTAAATTATATGTCATTATTGATTGTGGTTTTGATGGATGTTTGATTTATTTATTTTTTTTAACATAAAAAAAGACATTTTCTGAGGGTATTATAACATCTGTGGGCTCTAACCTTGAAATAATCGATTGCAGACCAAATTTAACCCAACCTATAGAAAGGAACCCACCACCGAGGTACTTAATGGACCTTGTTACGTTTGTAATTGGCAATCCCATTTAACAAAACTCCTTTCAGTTGTAATTTTATTCGATCTTTTATTTCAGTAAAGTTATGAGTTTTTAGATGTGAATCCGATCTGAATTGTGTTTATGCAGAGGAGTTTGTGATCTTAATCCTACCATAAAGTGAATCTTATACTCTAATTTATATAAATTATTAAAATTTATTAATTTTAAACAATTAAAATTTCTTATGCTTCCATTCAACTTTTATTTTACAATTTCATATTGGGAAAAGAAAGAAAAAATAAATTGTATCACTTATATAAAGTGAATCTTATACTCCCATTTATATAAACAAAAAAAGCTTTTAAGTGAGAAGCCTTATAATCAATACCGATTTTTTGTTTGTTTGTGTGTTTAAGAACACAAGTACAACACTCCTAGCATATCATCCGTGCTATGTGAAAGTGCAATGTGAAAGTGCTTTTGTAAACACAGTTTCAATCTGTAATCCAATGTAGATATCCATTTAATTTTTATTTTACAATCCCACATCGAAAAAAGAAGAAAAAAGTGAATTGTTTCACTTATATAAAATGAATATTATACTTCCATTTATATAAGCAAAAGAAGATTTTTAATGAAAATACCATTTTTTTTATTATTATTTTCTTAATTTTAAACAATTAAAAAAATCTCAATTTGTTAGCTTTCATTTAACTTTTATTGTACAATCCCACATAAACGTTTTGATTTTCAAAATAATTTTTATGAGATTTTGAAACTCTCATAATATTTAACTTTAAAATAATTGCACTCGCACATCGAGAAAAAAAAAAGAAAAAGTGAGTTGTTTCACTTATATAACGTGAATCTTATACTCTTATTTAATATTATAGTATTGTGCATATTTCAATTCAAGATGGTTAAAATTTGAAAATAAAATTTAAAAGTTTTAATTAATTAATTTTGTTGTAAATTGGTTGGTCTTTTGACTTAGCTGATTAGGCTGAATCATTTTCGGTTTGACTGATTAACTAGTTTAACAACGATTTTAGCTCTTTTGTCAAAATATATTGTTTAGATTTGTTTGATTTGAAATAAACTAATATTGACTTTATTAAAAATTGAATGACTGAGATTACTTGATTAGAAATGAATTTCCCGTCTAAATAACTATTAACTTTTATTTTACAATTCTAAATCAGAAAAATGAGGAAAAAATGAGTTGTTTCACTATATAAATCTTATACTCCTATTTAATATTATAGTGTTGTGTATATTTCAATTCAACACATTTTAAAATTAAAATAAAATTTAAAAGTTTTAATTAATTAATTTTTGTATAAGTTGGTTAATCCTTTGACCTAGCCGATACGATAAACCGTTTTCGATTTGACTGATTCACTGGTTTAATTGCGATTTTAGCGGTTTTATCAAAATATATTGGTTAAATTTGTTTGATTCAAAATAAATTAAAGAATGGCCTAATTAAATATTAAACAGCTAAGATTATTTTATTCGAAATAAATTCTCGCGCAAACAATTGTTAACTTTTAAACAATTAAGAAAATCCTCATTGGCTAACTTTCATTTAACTTTTATTTTATAATCTCATATCGAGAAAAAAAGAAAAATGTAAATTGTTTCACTTATATAAAGTGAATCTTATACTCTCATTTATATAAGCAAAATGAAATTTTTAGTAAGAAGCTTTATGATCAATATCTCATACTAATTTTTTTAATTTTCTTAATTTTAAACAATTAAGAAAATCCCGATTGGTTAACTTTTATTTAACTTTTATTTTACATAATATAAAAAAATTAAAAATAATTATCATAGTTTTATTAAATAATATATTATTTTATCCTGTGCATAGCACGGGTGATATATTAGTATATATATATATTTTATATAAAATGTCAAAAAATCCAAAACAATGCAATTTTTTTCACTTCATAGTTTATTTAGTTAAAAATGATAAGAAACTGAAAACTTCATAATACAAGAATGGAACCGACTTACTAACTATTAGTCCACCGCCTCTACAATCTATACATTCATATATCACTATAACTAATTCTGTTACAATTCTGTTAGAGCTAGGGAAGTTATCCTCTGGTTTGCTTGACTTGGGTTATACTGTCTTGAACTTGAGTTGGTTGAACTGAAGTTGGTATAATCTTATCAAAAAAGTCACTTCTCAAACTAGTCTTAGTTCCTCATTTCCCCTCTCCACTTTCTCTCTCTAAGTTTTTCTCCTATAGGGTTGTTTGAGTGAGTGTGCCGCTTGGGACCTCTCTTCTCTCCCCCCTCCCCTCTTTCTTTCTTCTATTTTTTGCAAAACAAACATTGGTAGATCTTTCTTCCCAATCTCTCCCAATATCTCCACAGAAACCACCACCACCACGCCGAGGCCACTCTTATACCAAATCTGATTTCTTTCTCCCCACATATCTTTATTTTGGTTTGCTTTTTGAGTTTTTATTTCTTTTTTATTTGGTATTTTGTATGTTTGGACTCCATGCGTGTGTTATTGGTAGCTTACCCTCTCTGGGGTGGAAGCTTTTGTGGTATCTCTAACTAATCTTAGTGCTGATTTCTTATGATCACTTCTGCGTTGCAGTATGGGATTAGGATCTTGCATGATCATGTCTTTGATATTATTTTGGCTGTGCCTGTGTGTCTCTTTACTCATTTTTCCTTTATTTAGAGTAAGCTCTATTTCTGTAAGCAGAGAGTCCATTATAAGTATCGTTTGGCTTATCCTTAATGGATTTTACTCCCATTAAAAAAAATAAAATAAATAAAATAAAAAAAAACCTAGTCTTGGTTTCAATTATAAATAAATAAAAAAATCCCAAAAAGAAGTTAAAAAATAATTGAATGCTAATTGAAAAACACTAGAAAGGAAATATATATATATATATATATATATAATTTATACAAAAAGGTCTATATTTAAATGATAGGCATCTAAAGTGTTCCAGCTCCAAAACACAATGGACTGTAAAATTAATTTAATTCAAAAATATATTGTCACCATGTAAAATTGTAAGCTTCACAAGTTTAGATTAATAAAAATATCAAAAAAGTTCACAGGCCAAAAAAAAAAAAAATACCCTTTTGAAAAGCTGTAGAGACACCTTAGTATAGCACCTCCATCTAACTTAGTTATTTTTACTTTTTGGTTAAGATAGTGAGTAATTCATTAATTTTCAACTCTATCAAACTAGTTTAAGTTAGGTATTTTAATTTTGATAATTTGACTTAACAAATAAATTCTAACACCCCCAAAATAATTACAATAATCCAACTCCAAACACCAATAAAAAGTGACATAGATAAATAAGAAGCTTTCATTAAGCAGAGTTAATATACAAAAATGTGACACATGCGATATACATTCATAAATCGTTCATCCTGAATTTACAGTATGTGTTATGAATAGTGAAAAGTAATGAAAGCAAAACAAACATTCGTCTGCCCTAAAGGCTTACATCTTTCCAAGACACTGCTTGGTTACAACAAAAAAGAGTCTAACTCAATACAATTAAACCTTTGGCTATACAAAGTAAATACAATAAAAAAGAAGCTCTTGCTCCAAATCTCCCCAAACTACTATCTCGACGGAGGCATATCTTCAACACCTGAAAATGATTTTTCCTAAATAAGGTGAGTCAAAGCCCAATAGAAACAATCTAACACAATATACGAATTTTAACAAAATATAAGTACAATGTGCATATGCATTGCCTGTAATAAAATCATTCATATTCTACAAAATCATAATATGCCAAATTCTATATCTCAATTCACTTCAAGTCAATTCATTTCACCTCAATTCATAAGTCAAATTCATTATTATCCAAACAACCCAATTGAGGGTACAACTCAGTGGTTCTCTAATCAATACAACCATTACAGAAACACTTTAATTTTTTATTTTACGAAAATTGCGTCCACGGGAATCGGCACCCATGCCTACGCGTGGTTTTCGAAACTTTCACCCTGGACACATAAGCCAATTTAATTCAATAGAGTCCATCCCCTTTTTTCTCCCAAATATAGAGTATATCCCCTTTCTCCAACCAAATATCATACATATATAATGTATTAAAACACGGTCATATTCAATGACAACAGTTAAAAGATTAGTTTCAATTCGTCTAATCTTTATGCAATTTCTACAACAATCATAACTATCCTTCACCGATATCCCAAAACAGATATTTCTAACAGATATACAATCTCCAAGATAGATAAATTATCCAAATTTTCATAGGTGAGAGATAATACACATCCCACTCCACCATTTATATAAACATTCATCCAATTTCATATTTCTAATACCAATTTCATAATTATTTTGAACATTTTAGGAAAAAAACTTTATTCTCTCCCAAATCCAACCCATGTGTTAAAATCAACAAATTTCACACAACACATCCTCATATCTATACCCATAACCATTTTCAATAACTTCATGTGTAAACCCCTTTTGATTTTAAACCAAAACCCTAAGTTTGTCTAAAATCTTTCAAAATCCAAAATTTCGTACACAATCAACAAATAACTAAGTTAAAAATCATAGGAGAGTGTAGAAAGTCCCTACCTTAAGCTTAAAAGACCAAAGCAACAATGGAGGAACTTCAAAGACGCCAAAACCAAATCTTGTTCAGACAAAAATGAAGCTCTTAAGACGTTCTATCTTTTTAACAAAGGCACACGAGTAGAGAACCTAACAGATCTAAGTGAAAATGTAGAAAGAATGTAGGTTTTAGAGAAAGAGGCTCTAGATCTAGGGTTTTTGAAAAGTAAAGAGAGAGAGATGTGAAAAAGTGATATAAAATGTCACTATTACGGACTGAAATACGCACAGTCCGCTCGGGCGCAAGAAGTAACGCTTGAGCGTTAGACACAATAAGTTGTTCCGCTCGAGCGCAAAAAACGACGTTCGAGCGTAGAATACACACTCCTAGTAGTTTTACAAACAACAGACCAACGCTCGAGCGCAAGATAGGCTACTCGAGCTAAGCTCGCTCAAGCGCAGCGCTCGAGCGTAGAATACACTCTCCCAGTAGTTTTGCAGACCTGCAAAAGTACTGAGAGTTTGAAAATCTCACTCGAATGCAAGAAGTGTCGCTCGAGCGAATGAGCAAAAATCTGAGCAACTAAAGTTTAGAAACTAAGCAACAAATCTATTCCAAACGCAACCATAACAACCCAATAGCCAAATTCAAAGAAACACAAGGGAAGCAAGATAATATCAACGACACAACACCATGAAACCCGAGTCCATAATATAATAAAGGTCTAGTCAAAACCGAAATTACTATATAAATATAGCTAGTGGTTTAGACTAGTTAAATGTTAAAAAATATTACTTTTAATATTTTGTGGAATTAGTTGTGTAGACTTTATAAAAAAAATTAAATTTAAATTAATAAAAATAATGTTTAAATAGCATGACAAAATGATGGAGAGTTTATTGGAGAGTGTATTTAAAATGTGTATAGCCAAAATAGAAAAAGTGACTTTTAAACTAAACTATAACAAAAATTTTGCTAATTTGAAGAGGAATAGAAGTTGAAATAGTACAAATTATAGTTAATAATGTAATGGGTTGAACTAGTAGTTGTTATAATATTATAGTTATAAAGTAATGTTAATACATGTAAAATATAAGTACAAAGATGTGATCTCTTTATATTTATCTATTAAAAAAAATGTCTATCATTGTAATTCATAATTATAAAAATATCAATTATAAATTTTGTATATGAAATTGTAAATTTAATATTTTTCTAGCAAAGGTAATTTTTTACATAATTTTTGTACAAAAATTTCATCCAAAATAATGTGATTTTTATATTTTTAAAATTATGAAACAAACCGATGAGTCTTTTGTTTTGAAATGAGATAACTTATATAAAAATATAACAAACTAAACCATCAAAACATGAAATGAAATCCAACACATAATCATAGTCATATAACAAACAAAAGAAAAACTTCAAACAAATACGAGAAAAAATTCATACATAAGTTCAAGAATCAAACTTTCAACATTATAATGAGGTACAAGAACTCATGATCGATGAGCTAAATATATTGGTGCCATTTGGTGCAATTTATTATAAAATAAAAACTGATAAACTAAAAACATAAGTATTATTTTTCTAATTTCTAGATAATCACTTTTTTTTCAACTTATTTAAGTTATTTTTACCTAATATATTGTAAGAAGAAGTTGTACGAAATAATTTAACACATACTTTCGAAATAAAAAAATAATTATAAGCAATTCAGATAAATTATAACAAACAAATTGTTTTTGTTATTATCTATCTTGCACACCAAACTGGTAGAACTTCATGTTATATCTCTTTGTTATCTTGAGAGACCTAATTTTGTCTCATTTTTTTAATCTCCTCACAAGAAAAAAAACTCTATTGGGCGCCTCCATTCTCCCATCTATATATCGAATCATATGTCACATAACAAAAGGGCTGTCACCAAAATGAGTGAAAAAGACAACACACCGACAATACGACCAATAATAATGCTATATCATGCAGTTTTAGGTCATGGGATTGTCATATTTGATCAAGAAAAGCGTGTATAAATCAAATGGCTTGCTTGACAAAGCGAAAGAGAGCCTAAGATAGATGGTTATCATTGTAAGGGAATGAACCAAAAAATAATTGTAGAAATTTGTTTTCTTCCAATAATATTAGGGAGACAAGTTCTGTTTACTTTTTCTATTTTTGGCTAAGCAACAATTAGCCTACAATTTGGATATGATGGCTCATCCAAACATAATGCATTTATTATAATTAAAAACTTTAATCTAAATATTAGGAAAATACATGTTATTGTTTGAATGTATTTTGTTCATCAAGGTTACATGCACTTAAAAATTTACATTCATTTGTATCAAACAAAATACAATCATATGTCAATCCTCTCATATCTTATCTTGTACAATCGAATATAAGTTAGTACATTTTTTTAAAATTTTGAAAGTGAGCTAAGAAGTTAATTTATTGGCTAAAAACATACCAATAAAAAATATTAAAAAAATAAAAAAACATTTGCTCAAAAAGCTAACCTAGTTGACACATTTCCATTTTTTTGACTTTTTCCTAATGGCCTTTGACATGAGTACGTTTGGTAACCGCACAAACTTTCTGGATTTTTGTGCAAAATGTTCATAATAATAATAATAATAATAATAATAATAATAATAATAATGTACAATGTAAGAAAATAAGGAGTGCAAGAGAGATATGTGGATAAAGTAGCTAAAGTGGACTTATTGACCAAAAATACATCAATTAATAGCTAAAATGGATTTTTTTGCGGGATGATGCAGGAAAAATATAACTGCAACTTATTGACACTAATAAGGAATGGTTTGACAATAGGCTAAAAATGTAACTGCAACACTTTTAGTCCCATTTCCCATCCAATATGCTAGCCAAAAACTACTAGAAGAGTTTTGTCAAAAACTTATATAAACATTCATTCCTATTATCTACTTTTTATATTTATTTTTTTTTGTAAAAAGTCGGAAAATTATTGTCAAATATTTTAATTTTTTTCACCTCATATATGTAGTTAAAAAATAACAACAAAAGTCACTTCCCAAACAAATCCGATGAGGTAGTAGGTACCTAACTGACTATATTAAGATGGTTACAAGGCCACATGAGTTTTTAGGCGTAGAGTCTCTCAGGTTATTGTTGACATTCTCAACCATTGCCTAACAAGAACAATTGCATACCTCTCTTGAATAGCAACTCAAACATGATAATCATTCCATGTGCTTTGGATAGATGGATATGAATTGTTAAAAATAGTAAAAGGCTTTGATAACATGACACAATGACTTGATTAAAATAAATTGTTATTGTTTAACAGATAATAAAAACTACAATCAGAAGCATAAAAAAAACAAACAAACAAACAAAAATTGAAAAGCATGTGCATTTCAGTATTATATATAGTGAGTGGCCATAACGACATTTGAATACAGTGATGTTTGTATTTATATACCAATTAGAATAAACGGATTTCTTGTGTCAAATTCTTGGTACGCGAGTTTGACTCTAACTTGAAATGTTTATTTGAATTGGGTCGTGTCGCTTTTGTGTTAGTGTTGAAAACTAATTGGCCCTAACTCTCTAACTTTGTTTGGTTTATGTTGTGCTAACTTATCATGTTGAAGATTCTCACCCGTTGGATAATTGCTATGTCCTCTACAAGCATTTTATGCAAACTAAATATCCAATTGTACTATATGACAAGTTAAAGCCTACCAAAAACCAAATTTAGTTTTTCTGAATTTTTTATAGATGAAGGAAAAAAACGGGTAATAACAGTTTGGATCAAATACTTGAATTATAAATCTTGTTTGGAAAATCCTCAGTCAATTGAGAAGTTACTAAAGTTTCTCAATATTTATCCACACTCCAAATTTCTAAGCTTTCAAATGGTAACCTCAAAATAGATGAATAAAGAGAGAACTTATTGTTTTTGTGATGATCTTCACAATGTTGAGCATGCACTTGTACAGCCATCTTTGGCAAGGCTATGCGTACCTCATGGTGTCCAAGACCATGTATACCTCATGGTTAAGCTATAC